ATATCGCACCTATATTAATTCTAATAGATATTTTTAAACTATATATATTAACCTCTTTATAACTTATAAAAATATTCTTTCTTCTAATAAATATAAAGTTTTAAGATATTTAATAAATTAGTTCTAGAGTAAAGAAAAAAAATTATATATTTAATTCTCGAGTAGTAGAGAGAAGAATAATAAGCGATATTCGATTAGCTCGTTTATAACGACGACGTAGACCTTTCTATATTTAAAGATATCTTTTTCTATCTTTTATATACTTATAAGAGACTCCGACGTCGTACGAGATATTCTTATTCATCGATATCGCCGCCACCAATATCTAACTTCATATCAAAAGAATAAATTATCTCCGCTTCGCTCTCCGCTCTACTCTCCGCTTCGCTCTCCGCTCTACTCCCCCCCCCCCTCCCCCCTCTCCTCCCCCCTACCCCCCCCAAAAAATTAAAAAAAAAAAGAAGAAAAAAAAAAAAAAAAAAAAAAAAAAAAACAAAAAAAAAAAAAAAAAAAAAAAAAAAAAAAACCCCATAAAATTTTTATAAAAAAAAAATAATTAATATAATAATAATAAAAAAAAAATATAATAAAAAAAAATTAAAAAAAAAATAAAAAAATTAAAAAAATAATAAAAAAAAAAAAAAAAAAAAAAAAAAAAAATAAAAATAAAAAAAAAAAAAAAAAAAAATAAAAAAAAAAAAAAAAAAAAAAAAAAAAAAAAAAAAAAAAAAAAAAAAAAAAATAAAAAAAAAAAAAAAAAAAAAAAAAAAAAAAAAAAAAAAAAAAAAAAAAAAAAAAAAAAAAAAAAAAAAAAAAAAAAAAAAAAAAAAAAAATAAAAAAAAAAAAAAAAAAAAAAAAAAAAAAAAAAAAAAAAAAAAAAAAAAAAAAAAAAAAAATTTTGCAAAAAAAAAAAAAAAAAAAAAAAAAAAAAAAAAAATAAAAAAAAATAAAAAATAATTCTAAATTTTTTTAAACTTCCCCACTTCTCCACTGCCGAAAAAGACTGGTCCCCAGGTCTATCCTTTCTCCGGCTTGGCGCAAGAATTTCATTTTCAAGCCTTGCAAGTTGCTGCAGTCACTCCGGACTCTCATGCTGTAAAATGCATAAAGTACATGTACGGAGCTGCCTTTTGAAACGCCCCTGCATTTGCTGCTTTCCCGGTCACTTTTCTCTACACAATTTCCCTTTATCATGCACGTGCCCGCGCCTATTTCCCCCAATCGGGCCCTTTCGAAGCTCGCGGAAGACGAGGTTACAATCGCGGGCTGAACTTTCACTTGAGCATGCATCCATTATCCATGGCAAAGCTGTGCCGAGCATACCGATCATCAGCCTTGACGCCAAGCTGGAATCTTCCACTGCTTGGCGGATATCCTTCATTGCAACCACAACAGCGAGATTGATGAAATGACTAAATGACGAGGAGAGGGGTGAGGAACAAAGCAGCACCGTCATATGTGAGGGAATTGCGGGATGTTTTCTGGCCCAAGAACTTAGTGGTATGCATGTCCCGATGTGCTGAAATCTGGGTCCCAGGAGCACCCACTCGGGAATTACGACTCAGTTCTTGGGCAAACCCATCTTTCTAAGGAAACAATGGGTCGACAGGAGCAAGGCTCTTCACTGTGCTTTTGTCCAATTTCTTGGGTTTTGAGACCCATAGCAGAGCCCGCTGTTTGGCTATCAAGCCATGGCGATCTTGTGCTGCGTTCCATCTTAGCGCGCTCCTCAGAAACGGTACAAATAGCCTATAGGTACAAGTGAAGAAGCGACTCTTCACCCAGTCGGCTACTTGTACGGGCAGTGCTTGTCTAGCTCTGTTGTTCTATGAAGTATACGTTCATTTGCAGGTGAATCACGAGTTGAACACTGCCATAAAGGAATACTCCAAAAGTCGTTCTGTATCTCCATCTACCTGACGGGTGTGGTGCCGCACCAAGAAGAAAGAATCCAGATGGTGACGGTCTCATCTCAACAATCACTTCTGTCAGCGTTGCAACCATACAAAACATGTGATAACCCACTCACCCTCACTTCTTTTCTCCACTCGCTTGCAGAAAACCGTGAACGCAGAGGAGACGCATGGTGAATGGAGGCTATTTTCCATAGAGCTATACATGATTCGCTGGCCCTTGATGGTAAGCTATACTGAAGGCAAGGCGCACAACATCACAATGATGCAGGAGCTACGTTATGCACGAGTCTTTAGGTGCATGACCCAGCAGTCTGGTATCCGTTGGGAGCCTCAGCATTCCAACGGCTATCTCAAGGATCCTCAATCTGCTCGGATCATCGTGGCTTTGTGCCTCTCATCGCCTCATCTGACTTTCTTATTGCCTTAGATTCATGTGGGCGTGGCCTGGTACTCATGTCAAAAGGCATTCGTGCAGTTATGCTGCAATCAGCTGCAAGTGCTCTGCTGCTGTCAATTATAAGAGTACATAGCCGCTACTAGTGTCAATCTTCCCATAGCGTTCCCACGGGAAGCCTGTTTGACAGATGACAGGCTGCAACTAGGTATGTTCTTCCTATCCTGCAAGATAATCATAGTCCCGATGGTGGGGGGATTCGACAACGCCATTGGCCTTCACGTCGATCTGATTATCTTGTTTCGACCAGTCTATCCTTCTACCGGAGAAGTCCATCTGACTGCGAAGAGTGATTGAAGCTGGCTGGGTCTTCACATTACGCATTTAGGCCACAGGACGATTGCAGTCACAACGAAGCGCGTCTCCATGAGCGCACAATATCCAGTGCCTACGAAGCTCTGAGCTATCGATTCTCGATGGATTCTTAATCTCTAATGCTGCTCTCCCTCGTAAGCCTTGTCAAGCATACATCCCTGGTCCTCGACGCCTTCTATACCTACCTATATCTCGTAAGACGGAGATTCATCGTTAGCTCACAGACCGCCAGAAGAAGGACCAAATGGCTCTTCGGTAATGACACCCTGACTTCTCGTTGTTTTCCCCCAAGGTCCGAACAGACATCTACCCCAGAGGTGTCGTTCCGGAACCATGGTGCAACAAGTCTCGATGAACGCAACCCTGGTCAAATTATCCATTCGTGTGGCATTCGAGTACACCATCAGCAATCCGCTACCCCCGGCACTTCGACGCCTGTCTCACGGAATTCCTCCCTCCATACGAGGAAAGTAATGCTTACAGATCCAGACCATCCCTACGCACGCATCCCACGCAGCGACAATCGCCACGCGCCAGAGTGACGAGTGCAACACACCCCCCCTTTCTTTCACCCCCAAAACACCCTCAACCAACCAACCAACCAACCAACCAATTACTTCGACAAATACATCGGGAGCTCTGCGTCGTTTTCCAGCGGGCTCGGCGGGAGTGGGCTTGGAAGTTGCCCGAGGACCGGGGTTGGTAGCTATGAATGACTCAATCGGCACAACGTTCAGAGCATCCATTCGCCACACCTCACTCCGGTCCATCAACCCTCCATCCATCTAGCTAGTCTTTCTTCCATCCACACTACCCAACCCCCCCCAATCACGACACCTCCCCCCAACTCACAACCGCCCCAGCGCTCCGATCCCCCCCAAAAAGACAGATCCGCACCCTCCTCCTCCTCCGCCCCTGCGCCCGCCCCAACCAGCCGCAACCCCCCCCCAAACCCTCAAAACCGCCCCAGCGCTCCAACCCCTCCCCCTCTCCACCCAAAAAAACAGATCCGCACCCTCCTCTCCTCCTCCTCCGCCCAGCGTTAGGAATAAACCCCACCCCTCTCCTCCTCCTCGCCGTATCCGAAACGCTGCTCCGTATCCTCGCCGCTCCTCCCTCGACACCGCCCCCCCGGCCGGAAAAAACGGCACGTACTCGAGCGCGCCGGGCCCCCGTTTGAGTTTCGGATGAGGGATCGGCGATACCGATTCCGCGACGCGACGGGGGCCCGCGTTGGATGGCTGGTGCGGTTGTTGGTTGGGTTTCTGGTGGTGAGGTGAGAGGTTGTGGGGGGGATGGGGATAGGGGTTTGAGTAGTTGGGGTATGGGTTTTGGGGATGTGGATGGTGGAGGTTGGGGTTGGGATTGGGGAGGAGTGGTTGATGGGGTTGGGAGTGGTGTTGGCGGGGAGGGGGGTGATGTTGGCGGGGGAGGGGGGTGATGGAGGAGGAGTAGTGAGGGGGAGGAGAGCTTGATGGGTGGGGTTTTGATTGTGGCGCGGGTGATATCAGGGCTTTGGTGGTCAGGGTTCCGTAGTCCAAGGATGTGCTGTTTGGGGGAGGAGGGAATCGGAGCTGGGGCTGGAGCTGGTTGAGCGGCCAGGGCGAAGAGGAAGGTGGAGAGTGTGAAGAGGTGGAGGGAGTACATGATGATTGGATCTTTGCTAGATGATAACCGATGAGTAGAAGATTGGGATTGAATGCTAGGATCACCGGCGCTCGTTTAAGTAAAAAGATCCTCTGGGACAGAATGATTGCTGGTTTGCATTTATCAGCGACTGGTTGAATCAGCAACGACATGCGAGTCAGATGGATATTATGACAACGACATCTTTCTCTAACGTTGAGTAACCTTGGCGATGCGAAATACCTCGCGGTGGTACAGACGGCCTGAAGCATTTTCCCGACGGCCTGAATACAGAATCAAGAGACGGATCGAGTGTGTAAGTGGATGTGATGCTGACAGCAAGCCATGCCAGCTTTGCTGGCCAATGAAGATAGTATCTCACGGTGTCATCACTGACTTGGGCATCGGATTGCTGTAAGCACATCTTCGGCACAACAGCAGCCATAGATGGTGGACTGAGTTGCAATTTGACATCCGTGCTATAGAATGCTACCCAGATTTTGCGTTGAAAGCTTCGTATATTTTATGTACTGTACATGGGGTTCATCCCCGCTCGCTCCTTTATACAAGAACCATGTTTGACGCAAGATTTCACGGGCCTGCGGATGCTGAGGTGGCAATGCTGCATATTAGACTTATAATGAAGGAGGACATAATAGAAGAAGATGCTGGACGAGGTGTAAAGATGCTAGAGTTCTCCATGGTCGTACTTGTGTATGATCGATTGTGCGGCGCCGGCATCTGTTGGCTTGCTGAGCTTGCCTTGTGTGAGTTCAGAGAAGGCCACGTCGAAGCGGGCGCCAAAGGCGTACGCAATCCCAAGCTGGCTCTCTTGTCAGTTTGAGGAAGAGACATGCGGAGAAACAGAACATACCATGAGGCATGATATGGAGAAGAGCGTGCCGAAAATGGCTATGAGCATGAAGACTGCAAGGAATTAGCGTTTCCTTTACCAAAAGACATTCGGTTGTGGTATTTACCAAGATCCGATTTGGCCTCAGCTGCCGCCGCCTTGTCCTTGCCTTCCTTTGACGTTGGGTCTATTGGGGCCGCTGGCTCTTGCATGATCGACTTGGGGTCTTGCGAAGGGTAGATCGTTTCGATGAATTGCTCAATCTGTTCGCGCGATTAACATAACTGTCGCTTCAGAGATCATGAAAGGACACTTGCCTTGCCACACGCGATACTAATCTTGAGGAAGTTGGGATCTCTTGGTGTATTCTTCTTGTGGATCTTCCTCGTGAATCCCCGGAAGACCTCGCAGACCAATTTCAAATTCTGCGTCGATTGCATCATGATGCGACAAGCCTCACCTTTTGTGATTTTGACATTCTTCTCGAATACCTTTGGATTTCGGAATACGAGTTCCAGTGTCGCGATTGCCATTGATTGTGGTATGGCTGCGAAGTTGAAGACGGACTGTTCCTTGAGACCGGCGAGGTAGAAAAGGCATTGGTCGGCATGGCTGAGGGAGTTGAGGACCATCTCTGAGCTACAGTTGAGAGCTGCTTCCCTGTTCTCTGGCTTGCAAAGATCCTCGAACTTGTCCACGTATTTTGACCAGATTTCCTTAGGCCAGAACCGTCTCTTCTCGTCCGTATCCTCTTTGATATCACGAATGATGTTTGTCTTTTGCAAAAAAAGACCCATTGACTCCTGGAGTTGGGGGCGTTCTAGCAATACCGGATTGGCCAAACCACTCTCGACGAACAGACGAGTGAGACCATTGCCCACAAGACCCGCGACGTAGTAGCAGTAGAGGTCATAGTCCTTGATTGTGTTCACACAATTGTCATCATGCTCCGCATTGTGACAGAAGTCGGCCATACCATTTCCCATCTTGAGCGTGATATCCTTGATGATCTCGCGGTACGCTGGCTTCACTTTTCTGAACTCCTCAGTCACGTTTTGAAATTGCACAAGCAGCTCCCTATCCTTCTCCTTTCGATCGCAACCATGGTAGTTCCAACCTTCCTTTTCCGTGTAGTTGTGGAATTCCCTCAGCAATGGGGTCTTTTCGTCAAGAGAAATGGTCATATCATCCTCAATGGTATCGAGTCCTCGGAGAATGAGATAGAAGAGAGCGATAGGCACGAGGAGTTCGGGGTGTAGCTCTTGGATGACAGCACTGAAGCTGCGGCTAGTCTGGTCGAGGAATTCGAAGCAGATTGCCAATGATGGCGCCTCCTGTTCCGGCTTTCGCTCGTGAACCGGTTGATGCCATGTTTGCCTATCAATTCATAAGATTTAACGCCTTGGATACTCAATTACTGACTTACCATTGAATGATGTCTCTTAGCTCTCCGGCATGTACAGCATAGTAGAGAACGTCGGTTGCTTTTACCATGTTGACTCGAGAGCAGTGGTAGGGATAGAGAGCGTTTGGAAGTGGCGCAGGCCAATGATGGATTATTAAGAAGAAGGGACTTGGAGGGTTTATCGACCTTCCTGGTGCATGGTATATGTGTGTTGAAGAAAGAGTGGAAGACTGAACATAAGGAAGCGCGCCAATGGACCAATGCCTTCTCCGCAAAAAGTCGAAATCGAAGGTCCTTTAGATTTGCAGTTTGCACTACGTATTTGGTGTTGACGCGCTAGGCAGCGGCAAAAAAACTTCCGAAGTGCCGACATCTTTTCGTTTTGAGGCAGCGATATGACGAGCCATTTAATTGAAAACTGATCACCAGCTTTCCCAATATTCTGGCTGAAGAATAAAGCATCTGTGACCTACACACACCCGATATCTGCCTTCGAGCGGTGGCCATAGCCTTGGCCCTACAGTATCTCAAAAGTCCACCGGCGTTATGGTGGTAGACACGACATACTACGATGCGCTTGGGGTTCCTCCAAAAGCATCAGAACTAGAAATCAAGAAGGCCTACCGAAAGCTTGCCATAACTACACATCCCGATAAGAACCCTGGCGACGAGACTGCACATGCCCGCTTTCAAGCTATCGGCGAGGCTTACCAAGTCCTCAGCAATCAAGATTTACGGCAGCGATATGACAAGTTTGGCAAGGAAGAGGCCGTACCCGGGGGTGGCTTCGAAGACCCTGCGGAGTTCTTTGGTATGATCTTTGGAGGAGAGGCTTTTGTAGATCTAATAGGAGAGCTCTCGCTCATGAAAGATCTCACGAAGACAATGGATATCACAGCAAAGCAGATGGAGGAGGCGGAGGCCGCCGAGTCTGCTGATGCCAAGCTGCAAGCAAAAGAGGGAAAGGAAGGAGCTGCAAATATAGGGGTTGCAGGAGCAGCAGCGTCACCGCCGAGGCCAACATCTGACCTCAATCCTCCCGCCAGCGACGCTTCTCCTTCAGCTTCTGGTACTTCTACCCCTACTCCTCGCCCTCGCATCGGCCAGCAGGCTATAATGGACAAATCAGAGGAAGATGCCCGCATGGATGCTGCTGGCCTTACTTCAGAGGAAAAGGAGCTACGGCGTAAAGAGAAAAAGAGGGGCTTGTCAAAGGAACAGAGGGAAGAGCTGGCTGCTTACGAGGCTGAGCGAAAACGTATACGAGATGAACGTGTCGACACACTTGCCAAAAAGCTGCTCGACCGTATTAGTATATGGACGGAGACTGACAAGGGTAACGATGTGACCAAAGCTTTCACAGAGAAGACAAGATTGGAGGTGGAGAACCTGAAGATGGAATCATTCGGTCTCGAAATACTACACGCTGTAGGACTGACCTACTTGCAAAAAGCAACATCATTCCTCAAGTCGCAGAAGTTCCTGGGCATATCAGGCTTCTTCTCCAGATTAAAGGATAAAGGTACCCTTGCAAAAGATACTTGGAGTACAATAAGTACAGCCATCGATGCACAATTAACAATGGAGGAGATGGCAAAGATGGAGGAAAAGGGCGGAGAGGACTGGACAGACGAGAAGAAAGCGGAATACGAGAGGAGGGTCACTGGGAAGATTTTGGCAGCGGCGTGGAAAGGGTCAAGATTCGAGATCCAGAGCGTGCTAAGAGATGTCTGCGATAAGGTGCTCAACGACAAGAGTGTCAAGATGGAGAAGAGACTCGAACGAGCACAGGCACTGGTCATCTCTGGCACAGTATACCAGAACGTAAGCTCTTTTTTCTAATATTTTCCTAAACGTGCCGCACCCAGCTAACGGTCCCCAGGCCCAACGAGATCCAGACGAAGAAGGTGATTACATGGCCTTCGAGCAACTCATGGCCGATGCGGCAATCAAGAAAGACAAGGTTCGTACATTTCGGAGCTAGTTCTTCCTAATCGGTAGTAGAATCGAGTTACATGACATGTCTCGGGAGCAAAAGGACCCTTCTACTCCCGAGACCTGTTTTGCAACTCCAGTCTCTGCCTCGAATGGCCTTTGCTGACTCCAAAATCTACGTAGAAGGGCGAGAAGAAGGATAAGAAAGAAGCGAAGAAAGCCGACGCTGCTACATCCTCACATCACCATTCACACGACAAACCAACCGCTGCACCAAATACATAATGCACGAAGATATCCAGAGCATGATTTCGGCACAAATTCACGACCAGAATATTCGCTAGAGTGTTACCTAGGGTATACCCTCTCAATAGCGAACTCGTTATAGACGCCCAGCGGCCTGGGGCCAGGGACGACATCCTCCCAAAAATGATCTAGGGCGCCACGATCATCTATCTACTCATCCAGATCCAACATCTTTTCCCAGAAATAGACATATAAGCGCTCATCTCCCACTTTCTCCGCCCGTTCTGATCCCTTGTCCAGAATCAACAACTCTCCTCAGCTCCGCCATCTGCCTCTCATAGATCTCTACCAACTCTTCCAACCTCGTTTCCTCGCCTTGCTTTGTCACCACTCCCTCCTCCTCCCTCCTAAGCTCCATTCCCTCAATCCTCAACATCAAGCCTCTCGCCTCCTTCCCCTCCTGCTTTCCCTCCCCATCCCTGTCCCATGTAGGCGCTGGTCCAAGCTCTGTAGACGTGACAGCCCAATCCGGAGACATACTTTGCGCCGACTCAATTTTTGTGCCTGTGGCATCCATATCTAGCAGCACATACCGCTCCTTTCTGCCTTGTGCATTCCCACCTTGGAGGTCCACAGTGGGCGAAGAGGTCGCCGAGGCGGGATGGAGCACTTGCAGAGCCGCCGCTGTGATGGGATCCGCATCGGGCGCATCATCGGAGAATACGTAGTAGACGTTTGGGTGGTGGGTCGTTGAGGTGCCGGTGTTGGAGAGGAGCGTGAAGACGGGCTGGAAGTTCGGTGGCGGGAGTACGGCGGGGGATTCTGTTTGCCGGTCACGGTCATGGTCGTGGTCGTCGTTTATTGGGTCTTCGGTTGAAGGGTTGGGGAGGGGGATGGCAGGAGGGTGGGTGGGGTGATGGTTTGGCGGGTTGGTGGAGCGGAGAGGGGGAGGAATGACATGACGCGGGCGTAGAGACTTCGGTGATTACTCGCTACATGATTGAGCAGAGTAGTAGAACAGAAGAGGCAGGCTGCGCGTACGCTATATATAAATGTTTTAGGTGTGTCGTTGTTGATAGATACAAAAAACTACATGCGACTTTTGAGTCATGCTTTGGATTCCTTTTCTACTCGTCCATGCCATTTTGGGTATCGAAACTGAACAACGCCTAACGCTATGCCATAACCAAAAGCGGGTCCTTCGGCGCAGCGAAGATATCTGCATCTCAAGGCTATTCTCCACTTTGCTTCCACTCGAACTCTGCATCGTGGTCAGCTTCTATTGGTGTTTGCGGAGAGCAAGCCATACTTTGTCTGCACATCGGACAAAGTCCTTTTGATGAATCTTGCTGAATCCAGGTGAGGAGGCAATGCTGCCAATGCTCAGAATCATGGGTCAAAGCTTGTGTATGCGAGTAGCTTCATACCATGTGAAACGAGTGTCCGCATTTGCCAATTACTATATTCATCGTTAGCCCTGAGTAGACTCGACTGAATTTCGAAGTACAACTTACACAGAGTGCAATCGTCGCCAGGGTATTTGCAGGTAGGACATGTGCCGTCGAACTGGACTCGACATATACCACAGACATCATCCTCTGGCATATCCCATCGCCAAGAGGCCACCGCGTTCCATTCTTTGATAGTGACTTTCATGGCGTGCTGTTCTCGCGGATGCGGACTCTAGGGTGCGTGGACCAAGAGTCACACTACAGCTATCTGCGTTACAGTCTGGAAAGGGACACCTGCTGAGGCTTACGAGCCAGGGTGGTGTCGTATGATGATTTGCAGTATATCACGCTTTGGTGTTTCGAGATCGTCGCCCGGGGGCGTTATCGCGATAGGAAGCTACCCTTGCTAGCGCGCTATCTCCGAGGGGAAACTGATGCGAATCTCTTTTCTTCTGCTCTTCAACCTACGCCGCAGCGAAGCTGAACTTCTTTTCTTTCTTTATTGTCCTTTCATTCAGCACAATCAGCACTCATTTCGGGTATGAGAGAAACGATTGAGTGTCATTGACCATGGCATTCCAAGCACGCACACGACTTCCTTCAATCAAGCTCTCCAACGGTCTCCCCAACTTCTGTTCTCCTGCCCTTCGCCGCCGAGCTTCGATGGCTCAACATCGTCATGTGTCTCTAGAATCTTATATAGTCACACCGAAAGAGCTTGCCGATGCTTTGACGAAGAACGTCCCTACCAAGATCTCCACAGCACCACGAGTGGTTCCAGTGTGTGCTTCCTGGTTTCTACCCAACGATCCCGAAGGTCGTACAGGCCACAGCGTATTCAAACAGCAACGAATCCCTTCTGCCCGTTTCTTCGACCTTGACGCCGTCAAAGATCATGACTCAAAGTATCCACACATGCTGCCCACAGCCGAAGGGTTTGCTAAGGCCATGCAAGATATTGGAATTAGAAAGGATGATGAGGTTGTGATTTACGACTCAAAAGAGCTCGGAATATTCAGTGCACCTCGTGTGGGTTGGACGTTCAAGGTCTTCGGTCATTCAAGCGTCCACCTTCTCAACAACTTCAGATTGTGGGTCGAGCAAGGTTATCCCATAGAAAGCGGAGAGGTGGTGGCAGTAGTTGAGGAGCCGAGCCATTACCCGACACCCCAGGTCGATCCAGAAAAAGTAGTGAAGTTTGCCGAGGTCAAAGATATCGCGAAGGACTATGGCAAGGAGGGAGCAGAAGGAATTCAGATACTGGATGCGAGGCCCAAGGGGAGATGGGCGGGTACCGCACCTGAACCAAGGCCCGGACTGTCGAGCGGCCATATACCAGGCAGCATGAGTGTCCCCCACTCGGAGCTGCTCGATCCTAAGACTGGCGCCCTCCTTCCGAGCGACGAGCTGAGACGAATCTTTGAGTCGAAAGGAGTCGATCCGGAAAAACCGATCATTAGTAGCTGTGGTACAGGTGTAACAGCAGCGGTTATTGATGCTGCGCTCGGAGAAGCCGACTTTGGCCATGCAAATGACCGAAGATTATATGATGGCAGCTGGACGTAAGAAAATCATTGTTCCCACATCGCCAATTCAGCACTGACAATGAGCAGGGAATGGGCGCAGCGTGTCGCAGAGAGAGACCGTTTGATCAGCAAGGAGGTTTAGATCAAATTCGTGCCGGAGGCAGTGCGATAGATTGAAGCGAAGAGGTGGCTTTCAGGATACAAACTTGGAGTCCGATACCCTTGATAGCTAGGGCAGTGCCCAAAAAAACGCAGAGCATTTATGACCTTCAACGATTCGTTCTGACCGAGTGAAAACTCTGGTTTCCGTCGCTTGCGCGTACTCCCATGTCTTTTCAGGCAGCTTGGCCAATTCAACTATTAGGTCCATCTTCTCACATCTTCTATGGCTACATACACATTGCTGGTATACAATGGCTGGACACTCGGAATAGTTTTTCTTTCCATAGTTGGCCCCCTATCGGTTGTTGCGATTCTGAGGTTGTTGCGAGTCTGTGTTTCGGCTCCATTATGCACCTGATGCTGTGTCATCTGTCGAGGAATGGCTGGGGCAGCTTCTGCGATGAGAAAATCTGTACTTTTCCGAATTTGTCTTGACTTTGCTCGTCAAGCATTACCTGTCCAGTAAATATAGCCGGTTGAGCATACGAAGTCCCAACAGCATTTTTGTGCTTAATTGGCAGTAGGCCTCTACCAGAGAACTCGTCGTTTCTTTCGACACGATCGCCAGCGTATATACTCCTCGTTGAGGGTTCTTCTGTCAAATGAACCTCTCCGAAGCCATTGCCAGCACTTACAGTACTGGTAGCGGAAACCTGCGCTTGCGTAGAGTTCTCGACAGCATTCGTAGACGATAACTCATCCGTAACATTGTTTTCAACGTGCTCAGCCCTCTTCCTCTTCTTGACTGGTGGAGCTTTGGCCATTGCGGCAGATGGAGCGATATCCTTTTGAGCTATGGCGTTTTTCAATGCTCTCCCAATCTAGAAGTAACAGATTCAAAATTGATCTTATCTTAGTGAGCAGCTAAGATGGCAAGCAGAAGCTGTTGGTCGGCTTCATGGCGATGGACAGGTTCAGCTGCGACAGGCGAAAGATGGGTAGGTGTAAAAGGCAGTCGGGCGAGATCTCAGATTTTCAATTGGCTCATTACTAGCGCAAAATGCCAAAATGCCAAGAGATGAAGTGGCTTAGCTCCCGCCTCCGGACATTTTTCCATTGTGAAGAACCTCGCACTTCACTGACTCTTTCTCTTCACATGCCACCACCTCAACAACCCCATAACTTCTTCCCGGTTCATACTTTCTTCAAATCCTCATGTTTGAGAAAGTATCTCACATGAGCCTCTTGAGAAATCGAGAGGCCGGATCGTATACTCAACATGTATAACTGCGCTCACTTGCAAGGAACACTTGTCCTAGGTACGTACTGGGCAACGTTAGCTCGCACAACACTGTCAGGAACACCACCGTAGGACATTCTTACTGATGACTGACAAAGGTCCTTCGGCTGGGCCTACATCAACAATGATACCGTCTCGATGAGACCAAACAGCACATCTTACATTTTGCACTTCTACCAAAAATGGAGACCCCAATCTGCGTCCTAGACGCCAAGACACTCGTCGACCACATTCAAGACCTCAAAAAGTGGATCTACGACGGTCGACTACGCCTCGTCGTGCCATCATGCAGTGGGTCAACATCCAGCGCAACAATCTTCAGCCTTACTAAGTCACTCTAGCAATCGAACAAGTCGAGCAGCTCTACCAAAAGTCCGTAGAGCCAAAGCCGACAACACAAGAAGCCCCTCGACCTCGGACCTCGGGCAAGCCACCCAAGAAGGAACACCCCGCCTTCGACATCAATCCTCGTGTGGCGCGGGAATATCTTGGAAGGCTGAAACATAGGAAAGACCAAGACGCTGGTTCAGAACAGCGACTGTTCTTTCAGGAAACCGAGAACCATGAAGCTGTTTGTTTCCAACAGCCAAACGAACATTACACGCCATGGAAAGATCTCGATGTAGAAGAAGACAAACCGGAGGCTATTGAGGGCCCTCCTACATCATGGGCAGAAGCGCTACGAAGGAAGCAAAACTTAGCCAATGGAGTATCGGAGAAGTCGGTGTCAAAAGGTGGATAGAGTCTAGATCCAGAATTGATACATTGCTAATTGTCCTTTCCCAGCGCCTACGAAACCAAAGCTGGTAGCTAGAACCGCTGGGAGCGAGACATCCCCATGGAAGGTCAAGAAGGACGCTCCAAAGATATCGGCAAAGGATGTTCCAGGAGGGTTGCGCCCATTGATGAGCTGTGCCCTTTGGCGCCTGCACGAGAGCATCGAACGCAATGATGCCAATCAGCTGTTCCTCCTGAGCGACCAGACTGAGACATGTTCTGTTGCTCAGAAGCTCAACATCATTGCTCGTCCGCCCAAAGAAGTTGCCGCTACAATCGCATGCAAGACGAGCAGGACTGATCTCGAAACCTTTGGGGACCTTGAGCAAGAATTTGGCGTACAGCAGAAGAGTGCTACCCTTGCCACCAAAGATGCCGAAGAGACTAGTGGAGAGAATGGCGTTTCAGAGAATGCAAATGAAGATCTGTCTAAAGATGAGGATGCCATGGACAACTCGGTCTCCAGCGAAGGGACCGCAAACACTGATGCCAGCAGCATCGTGCATGAGCAGGACCTTGAGAAGCAGAGTCTCGAGCGGGGTGAGAAGAAGTCCTTGGTAGATGGCGATCGTCGTGAGGACAAGGTCAGAGAGCAGGACCTATTGGTGGAGACAGCCCCCACGTTGACAGCAGAACATCTCTCAAATAAGCCTGCCAAGAGCGTCGAATCTATCAAGACCCTCGTAGACAGCATCATCCAGCAGGATCTCGAGAAGCACCTAGGCCAATCAGGTACTGGCATCAACCTCGACGGTGTCGAAAGCCAAACCAACCTAGCCAACCAGCCGGCCCCGGAACCCTCTGTAATGCGCTCGCCGCCAGAGAGTCCCTTGCCTCAACCTCAGAGTGTGGGACCGTTTCAGCGCGTCCAGGAAGTCCAGACCATTAGTGACACTTCTCCGTTAAAGCTCACTACTACCCACTCGACGTCAATATTGGAAGCCGCACAAGAGCCGGAAGATAGCGATGAAGAGGTAGTTGTCTTCATACCCCAGCCGAAGCGCCTCTCTGCCCAACAGAAACCTCCCCAGCAAAGTTCACGACCTTCGACACCAAAGGAACAATCTCAGCAGAAGCCTGCCGGGCAGAGTCCACAGAAATCGTTGGTCAAACCTCAACCGAAAGGGAAAGCAGCGAGACACAGTCCAAATCCATCAACTGTTGGCCAGGCTCATCAGCAACCTGTCAATTCTCCTACAGTCATTGACCCGGATGCTTTTGGGCGAGACTTTCGCGTCAGTCTCAATCCAAGCCCTCGACCTCCACACAATCCCAATGGCCATTCTAATCATCGAAACCGAGCCCATATCCAAAACACTCAAACAGGCCAGGTACCTCGCAATTTACCTCGGCAGCCTGCCCGTACGAGCCCACCGCATAATGCTCCCCAAGAGAGTTCACGACGTCTAACTCCTATTCATGGGCCGGCACTGAAAGATGCTCCAAATCATCGACGTCAAGCATCACGTACAAGTCCTCGAAGAGCCCCAGCTCCCAAGGCTGAAGAAGTGATGCTTACAGTTGTTGAGTCTGGAACTCCCACGGCAGCAGGACTCTCGAAGTCACACTTTCCTGAGTCTCGAATAACAGAGCCTACGGACCTTGTTCCTCAGACCATCTTTTCAACAGCACAGTTCGAAACCAACGAATTTCAGCCTGGTGTCTATGAACCCACAGACTGTGTGCCCAGGTCTGCCTTGCCAAACGCCCAATTGAAGCCCAATGGCCCCCAACCCAGAGTCTATGAGGCGAGTGAGTTCGTGTCCAGACCGCCAAGGCCAGTGCGAGAGTCCAAGCCCCGAGCACCAAGGCCCAAAGTCTTCGAGGCCGCTGAATTTGTGCCAAGGGACTTCGTGCCTAGGACGACCATGCCTCGAACTCAGCCCAAACAGTCTTCGCCAGAGCCTGAATCTATCGAGCCAAGACCGTCCATCAACGATGTGGACTACGTGTTGAAGTCGGGATCAACCAGAGCATCGGCACGTGGCAGAGGACGACTGTGGACACCTTCGTAAAGGGTGATGATCCTTGGAAACAACATCACGTCATCGATGGTATTGAACAAACACCGATGAACGCATTAGGTGAAGCTATGCCGCGAATATTACGACCAGCAAGCGGGAAATGCACCAAAACGACAGCCCATACGATGGAGCAGGTGAAGAGGCAGTAAGGCGGAGACCAGTAAAAAAAATTGAATACATGCAACACAGTTTCGCCAGAATGAATATGCAATACGAGGAAAAAGTTGATAAGGTGGAAGTGGCAGTATCCGGGGACGTTAGATTGTCAATCAATGCTTTTATGCGGTGTTTTCTGCGGTATGTTGTCTTTAGGTGCTCACGTCGGTATGCAGATTAGGTCCAGAATCAAAAGTCTTGCTTTGAATCGTACCTGGCCAATTTCGTGCTCCATAAACCCTTATCCATACCTGTTGTTGAACATGAGAGACCTTGCGACCTGTCAGTTGAACGCTAGCCTATGACGTACTATCGGCTTCGTGTTTAAAGTACTTTTCAGCATCGTGCCCGCAGGGCATGGTGGCAGAAAGTGACAGTTCGAAGGGAGAGGGGTATAGCGTCCTCAAGATTCTGGCATATTGAATTGATGCCTTTGCACGATTTTGAGGAATAGAAATGAAGCCGCTAGTGGCATGTCAACGGTGAAGGGTAGAGTACATTGGGTATCTCATCTCGGAGAGTGAAGAGTAGCAGGAGCAGAACACCTAGGTACAAAACATGACATCAAAAGGGTATCTCCAAAGCAAAGGTAGCACCGTTTATCCTCTGGAACACCATCACTATGCGAATTCCTCCCCCTGCCTTATATCCACCAATCCACCCACACACTTCCTTCCCTCAAGCCTGCGATTGCCCTGCCCCAAAGATCGAAAACGCCTGCAGATAATGCCCGAGATTTTGCATGCTACCCCTATTTCCAGGGACATTTCCAGGTATGTCGGACTTGGTATCAGGAGGTCTCATGGCGTTCAGTATTCTAGATGGGCTCGATGGACGAGAAAAGTCTTCTTCTTCAGAAGGCGGTTGCAGAGGTGGACCTTCTCGTGATGGCGAGTCGTGCTGGTAAGGTTCGTCGTCAGGGGATGAGCTATCAAGGCTGTCGTCTATGCCATCGAGAGAGATTTCGCCATCGCTACGGCGCTCATTGAGGTTGGGCTTGCCGTCGAGGTTTCCTTCTCCGTCAAGAAGGTCCGTTGCTGCTGCATCAATGCCATAATCCTCGGTCTTCTCGGAGACGTCCAAGATGTCCATTGCTGTAGCCCCGTCAAGCTCATCTGACGCCATGAGGTCGCCAATCTCTGCAAAGGGCGTTTGCACGTCCGTGGAAGGCCCCCACTTCGAATAATCAGGCGTCTCTAATCCACCATCTAGACTTCCTAGACTTCGCTCGAATGGATTGCCGCCGGTCCATGAACTCGGGCTTAATAATCCCTGACCTTGTCCGAACATCGCCTCTTCAGTGTCGTCGGGCGTTAAAACTCGAGCACCAAGATTTTCAGGTGTTGGGGCTCGGGCCTGGTATTCGAGCGCTGTTTTGCCGGAGGCTATGAGGGATTCGGTTTGCGCGAGACAGCGTTTTATTGATTGGTTGAGTATTTGGCCGTCGAGGAGGAGGGCGCGTTGGGCGGCGAGGTCAAGTTCGGGCCGCTTGGGGTCTTGAAAGCGAGTGCGGCCTGCTCGGGATGTGGGGGAAGAAGGGCGCGAGCTGGCGCCGGAGGGGGGAGAGATGTCGGATAAGGTGTCTTCATGGTCATTTTCTCCGTTGTCAGAGTCTAGTGGCGACGTCTCACCGGCTGAATCATCAGCGCTTTCGGACAAGAAAGACATCTTCCCAGAGGCAGATTTTGACGCAGGCGCCACCGACAGGCGTCCAGAACGGCTGAGCCGGCGGTAACGACGCAGCTCGGCGTTCTGCTTGCGCATCTCGCGCTCAAGGGCGCGGTTGATAGCCAAGAGAGATGAGTTGCTGATTTCGAGATCGAGGACCTTTCGTTCACGGCGAGCCTTGGCAGCTAGCTCGTTCATCTGGTCAATCTTGCTCTGGCCAACAGCTGAGGGTCTCGTTGGGCTCTGTGGTTGCGCTGGGAGCTGAGTCGAAGGGAGTTCTTGGACGGCAGCTGGAGGATTCACACTGTGTGGTAGTGCGCCATTCGACCCGACGATAGAAGTAGTTCTAGTCCGTTCAGCTGCTACTGGACTCATGTTCGAAAGGACTACGCTTGATCTTCGACGCGGGCTTGGCCCAGCTGACTGTGCGCTGGAGGACCTTGAATGTGAACTGACACGAGCTTCTCTGGGTGATTGTCTGGGTGAATTGGTGCTAGCTCTCCGCGCAATGTTCGTAATGCCAGAAGTTGTCTCTGATGGCTTGATCTCAGTGCCACCGTTTGAGACCAACCGAGTATGGCGTCGAGGCGAAGGCTTGTTGACAGAAGACTTGCGAGGCAGAAATTCCTCTTTGAGTGGCGAAGCCGCCCTTGGAGGGCTTGAGGCCGTGTGCGCGCTGTAGATGGTCTGAAGTGGTGGCCTGTGAGAGGAGACACCGTTGGAAAGCCGAGGAGGCGGTTTTGAATCATTGGAGGGATCATTGGCGTAGAAAAACTTAGGCTTTTGCTCGTCGAGGGTAGGGCTGTTGCTCATAGATGAATCCCTTCCATTTGAGATGTTCCCGTCCTTGGACTGCCCGTATCCTGGCAATGGCCCTTTTGACAATGATCTACCCGCTGTAGGCTTTGATGGCATACTCGCTTTGACGTCGTTCGCATACACAAACATTGGCGAGCTCTCTGGGCTAGTCGTCCTCGTTGCTGAACCTTTTCGCTCCAACAGAGGTGGCCGGGGCGAGATCGAGGACCCCAACCCATCGCTGATCACACTTGATGCTCTTGACCTCCGCCCAGAAGTTGAAATCCTTAGCCCCAGCCCACTTGTAGCCCGCGAACCCTCTGGGGTTTTCTCACGCCTCTCGATGGAAGAGACCGGTCTTGTAGTGCTGGGGGTCCCACTTGAAGTTCTATTCGGCGTTGATGACGCGCTTTCAACTCTTGCCTTTCTGGAACCTGACCGAGGTGTTATGTTGGAGCTCAAGAAAGCCTTGACTGGTGTTGCGACATCTTCGGGCGAGTGTCCGTTCTCGACGCCTAGTTCATCCATTCGAGCCTCTCTTCGACGGGTAGAGGACCCATTGGAGGCCAAAGATGCTGCGATCCTTGTTGTACCATTGTCAATTCCCGCCCACCTGGGTGATTGTGTGGTGGTGTTCGCTATGGGCCCGCGGTTGACGATGCCATTCTGCTTCTCGGAGCTCATCGCTGCTGCGCCATGTCGTGTAGGGGTCGTGGAGTAGCTTTGTGGGGAGCAGACCATCTCATTTTTGGTGGCGGTTCTGCACAAAATCGCCTTAGACCAAGATATTCGATGAGATCATGAAGCAGCTATTAACGATGCATTTGCCTTATGGTGGTGTCACCAGTGGTATCGACGGCGCGCAGAGCTGCGGGAACCAACCCTAGCAACAGACTAAAGACTAGCGCGCTACAAAATACGTAGGTAGAGTACGGTAGTGCTTTCTCGGTTCGTTACGGCATCTTTCAGAAGCTATAAGGTAGGTTTTCTTTATATTATACCTGTATTTATCCGATCTTCTTGACATACATACAGGTAGTGACAATTTTTAATATAGACGGTGGCCTCTACAAATCAGACTCTTCTTTTTCCATATCTTGGCTCCTGTATCAGGTTTCGTTGCTTCAACCTGAAAAGACTGTCAATACTCTTAGCAAAAAGGGCTACCCTGAACCATCAATATATTCCATTCTTTGATTTGATTATACCACATTTCGCTCATTCAGCCCAACCACAACCCGGATTCAAACTCGCAAACAGCCGTGTCTGCTGACGGCCACAATGTTTGCTCTCCATGGGATTCAGAGCCTTCGGTTCGCTCGTTGAGGTCCAGGAAATCACGCGCACTTCCAGAACTCGTTCCCTTCCACGAACAAGAAATCTATACTTCTAATGTCAAAATTTATTGGTCGCTCCTCATCCTTCGTAATCTCCGCCAGCTGTAAAGGTTCTTTCAATTCGGATGGCTTCATTTTGGAGAAGGTAGTCGACTCTAACAATTTCGCACGCTCGTACCAAGCCTTTACTCGTTCGGTAATCACTTTGAACTTGTGAAAAGAGTCGTGATGTTCTGCATGCGCCGACGTGACGCTGATGCTGCCAACGTGTGCACCCAAAGCGTCCAAGTAATAGGGCACCTTACAAGCTTGCCATAAGCGAAACGGTTCAGGACCTGGATTGGTGCAGAACGCGAGCTTAATTAGGACGAGACTGGCGTGGGCGACTGAACCTTTCTCCAACATTGAGTCTTGCTCGATTATGTCTCGAGATAGCTGGAGATATCTGTCTAGGAAGGATTTTGTGGTTTCGAGGCAGCCTGTTAGGAGATTCATTCGGGCGCCAGAATGTTTGTTTAGGTTGATGTCTGAACTTGTTGATGGGCTCTTGTCTGGGGAGACATGCAGGGAGACTTGGTGCAGATGAATACAAGTACTGTCGTACGCTAGCAGAATTGACGGTATACAGACCCCGTCTCGTGGGAATAAACCTCGCAAGTATTGCAATCGAGACTTGAAAGCCTTGACTAACAGGTCTGCTCATTCCGATCCAATCCATGGCCTTTCATCGTTCATTGGATCATCCCCAAAGACAAGTGCCATTTCCTCGGCGAGTCTCTGCAATTCGACGAAATGGATGAGTTGATTATCTGATGGCGTTCCACTCCCAGTGGCTAGTGACCGGCAACACTCCCCAACCTGATCATTGTACCTCATAATGACAGGCTTTCTGTTTACCATGGAGAGGCAAGATGACAGACAAGACATTCCTACAAACGCTCTTTTCACTTCCGCGGCAGACTGTCCAGGTTTTCGGAGATCCAACTCAATGGTCACAGCTACAGCTATCTGGACAAGCATGTTGATCTGTCCGCCCTGTAGCTTGAAGTGAAAATGGTGCCAAGCCAGGTAGATCAACAATCCCTAAAGCAGGTCTAGATCTTTTGCTCCTTGGACTATCACCTTAGTGCTAATAATTATCTTAGGGTCAGCTCTCCTTTCTCATCACACAAACTCGAGTAACGAAACAAGTCTAGGGAGCACGGCGATAGGAAAACCCTTGCCGCCCCCTCAAAACGGCTCACTACTCATATCCAACCCATGAATGGGAAAGGTCTACTCGGCAATGTTCATACCTGAGGACTTCTCGAAACTCTTGTTCAAGAGATTCCTGCAACTTGAACTGCTTCCTCGAAGCAATTGTGAGGACGGACAGTAGCAGAAAAGGCCTTTCACGTCGAAATGAATCCATAGTAAATTTTGGTAGTAACACGAAAGGAAAACTTGCATAGTCCGTTTGGAACGTTTTTATGAGCTCTTCGGCATCCTGGAATGACATCTGCTCGACCTGTGGAGACTTCGGAATTAGCACCGCTTCGGATCAAGAATACTAGTTATGAGACAGATCCACAAGAGCATCATACCACACATCCTGCAGTACCAAATAGGAAACAGTCGCTTCGATGTACGTACTGGAGGGTTTGTTGCCTTGAGGTGTTGGACAAATATCGATTGGGTATCCTAAACCTGAGTCTACAGGCGAGGACGCCTACTTGCTCGAGGACTTGTGGTGCCGGGTTGTTCTGCGGCATCAAACCCGTCTGAAGCAGAGAATAGATATCATCAATCCTTTTCTCTACTTTTGAGATTTGTCTAGATCGCCAGGATAGGACAAATTAGCAAACTCTGCAATCAACCAAAAAAAGGTCGTCAGGGGGGAAAGCAATCATCTCTAGTCTCGTATGAGTCCTTTTTCAACATCGCGCCGAGAGTATGAACCCATATCGAGATGCTCTTGTAAAGATGCAATGATATGGTTTATCGCACAATTGAGAATGGTCCAAGATCAGTCACTTCCACCACTATGGCTCCATTCCTTGTGCTCAGAGATCCAGAGATTTGATAGGCATTGCTGTAGAGAATGAAGAGGTCAGCTACGATCCTTGTGTCTCGTATCACAAACACACTGGAGAGCGCATCCTTGGGCCGAAACCAATCTTCACAGATGACTCAAAACTTGGCGAGAGAGCGAACATCCCGCAAAGTATATATAGACATCACCGGCCCGAATTCCACCAGTTGTTGTTGGCCCAAGCACGCAAAGTTGGCATTGAGGTCGAGTATGGCCAGCGTGTGATCGAGTATCTCGAGGATGCGGCAGCCAGAAAAGGCGGTGTCGTCGTTCAGGGCGGGAGCAAGCTTGAAGCCGACCTTGTGGTTAAATTTTATTATAAAGTGGGAAATTATTTAATAAAAAAAAAAATTTAAAAAATAATAATATTACTTTTTAGAAGATTAATATTTATCTAATATTAAAATATTTTTATCTTAAAGTCGTTTAACTTATAATATAAAAAAGATCTCTTTACGCTAGTCGCTAGTATTAATATATATAATAATTTTTTAAATTTTAATATAATTAATAATATAATAATTAGAATAATAATAAGAAATATTATATCTTTATTAGAGTTATTAATAGATTAATTATATTTATTTAAACTTAATTCTTATCTTCTTTATTATTCTTAGCTTCTTTAAAATTTCTTATTTATTAAAATAACTCTAATATTATCTAGAAGTTCTTTTAAGATTAATTAAATAATATACGCTATATAGAAAATATATTATAAATAATTTAAGAACTTAAATTCTTTAATATTAAGCGAGTTATTTATTATAAAAATAAGAAAGATAAATAATTAAATTATTAAAGAGTATATTATTATTACTAGCGTTATTAGTTATAAATTTAAATATATAAAATTAAATCTTATATTTTATAAGAATTAAATTAATAATACTTATAAGTTTCTAATTAATATATTTATCTTCGATATACTTAAAGTCTATAAGAATCTTATATTATTATTAATTAATATTAATAAAAAAGATTAGAATTATTATAAATAATTAATAATTATAAAATAATTAATAATTTAGAATTAGAGAGACTTTAATATTATCGACTAATAAATTCTTTAATAATCTTATCTCTAGCTCTATAGCTTTTCTTATTAATTAATTCTTTATAATAAATATTAACTTTAATTATATATTAAGAGTTAAGATAATATAAGAGTTATAATATCTTAGAATTATTAGTAATTATAAATAAAATATTAATATTTATAATTTAGCGATAAAATTATTTTAAGAAGTCTTCGCGTATAAGCTTTCGATCTTCTAGTATTATAAGAGAATTTTAATATTATCTTTTCTAGAGTAAATAGTAAATTAGATATTCTATTTATCGTTTTATTTATTAATAATTTATATTATCTAATTTAGAAATATATCTAATTTTTATAATTATTAATTAGATTCGTTTATTATAAACTACTTAAATTAGATTTCTTAATATATCTCTTAAACTTAATATATACTATTATATCGCTTATTTTATAATCTATAAATAAATAAATTAGAATCTTATTATAGTAATAATAAATAATATATAGCTCCTTCAAAATCGACGAGCGTATATTCGTTAAATTATATTTATTTCTAGAATTTTCTAATTTCTAAGTCTTAATAAATAGGTTAATAATCGCTATTAGATTTAAACTAATTCTATATAATCTATACTATCTTTATTTATTACTATATTTATTATTTTTTATTATTAATATTAAAAAGAAAGTAAGATTTATTACTATCTTTATATCGAAATATATTTATTAATATCTTATATTAAGTATCGTTAATTAAGAAAGTTAAGTTTACGCTAAATAAAGATCTAATTAATATCTTAAGATTAAGATATTTAAAGAGAAATTAAAAGAGATATATAAATAAATAAAATATTAGAAATAAAATAAGATTAATATTTAATATATAAATTCTATCTTCTCGCTATAATAGAAACTTATATCGCTTTAATAACTTATATCGCTTTAATAATATATCGCTATATTATTCTTAATATTTTAAATTAAAGATTAATTCTTTCTAATTAGCGTTATAATTAGTAATTATATATTTAAAAGTATATAATAACGCTAATATAGAATTAATATTTAATTTTATTAATTTAAAACTCTAATTAGTCTAGCTATTAACGCTTTTCTACTTAATATAATATATACTTTATTTACTTTAATATTAATACTTATTTATTATTATATTATTTTAATTATTAGAATTAAAAATTATATTTATTTAATTAATATTCTAATCGCTAATTATATTAATAAAAGCGTATATTAATATCTTAAAATTATTAAATTTATTTTATTAGATATTAATATAGAATTAAAATCTAATTTAAACGCTTTAATAATTTAATTAGCTAAACTAATTATTATCTAAATCTTCTATATATAAAAATTAAATCTTTTATCGCGCTAAGATTATTTTTAAATATTAATATCTTTCTTATTAATATAACTCTCTCTTATTTAAGTAATATTATAATATCTTTTACTTAAGCGTTAAAATATTAAAATATTATATTCTTCGCTTTTAATTAAACGATATTATCTTTAAGTTAATATCTTTAATCTTATAAAAATAATAATTAATTCGTTATAGACGAAGGCGAAAAAGAAATAATATCTTCTTCTATCTTTATAATAGAAGAAGAGAAGAAAGTAAGTAAATTAATTATAAGCTATACGCGACTTAATATCTAAGAATAATAAATTAATAAAGTTATAATATTAAAATAAAGAGCTCTTCTTTATAATTAATAAATATAAGATTAAATAGAAATTAATTAAATTAATAAGATTATCTTTAATAGATATATCGCGTATATAAAGAATATCGAAATATATAAAATATATATAAAATATAAGAGGGCGTATATATATAGCTATAAATATCTAAAGTATATTTAAAATATAGAAAGAAGCGCTTATATATAGCTCTACGATATATATTAATAAAAAAGAAATTAATCTCTTTTTCTAATTAGCTTTCTAATTAATATTTAAACTTAATCTATCTTTAAATAATATTTTATTCTAATAAGATTTTAATTATATAATATTAGTTAGCTCAATAATAAATATTTAATATTATTCTTTTCTAATTTACTCTCTTCTTTCTTAAAAATTCTTTTTATTATTATAATATTTATATTATAATATACTTATTTATTATAATACTATCTATATCTAAAGAAAATAAAATTATTTTCTTTATATTCTATAATTAAATTAAATTAATAATATTATTTTTATAAAGTAAATATATATCTAATAGCGCTATATCTCTTAATATAATAATTAATTATAATATTAATTATAATTTATTAATATATAATATTATTATTTATTAAAGTTATTAACTCGATAATTATAAAAGCTTAGAAAATTCTTAATAATTTATTAATTATTAATTTAGACTTATTTAAATTATTAAAGTAAAGTAAAGATAAGACTTCGCGAAGATAAAGATTAGAAGATTATACGCGAAGTTTAAAAAGTATAATTATAAATAAGAAAAGTGCGTAATTATATTAATTATATATATCTAAATTAAATAATAAATTAATTATATATATTAATTATATTATTACTAATTAGACTTTAAAGTTTATATATTAAAGAAAATTCGCGAATAGTAGAGATTAATAAATTTAATTATTTTTTAAATTATATTTATTTAAATAATAAAGAAGATCTTAATTTATATAACTTTAAAATCGATTAATTCGCTTCGAATTTAATCTCTCTATACTATATATACTTTAAGAAGCTATAAAGATAAAATTAGCGAGTAATTTTAATAATATAACTTACTCTTTAATAATTATAAATAAAGAAAATTATTAACTAATATCTAGCGACTTAATTATATATATTTTATATAAAAAGAATTACTTTATAATTAAAAGATATATAGCTTTTTAGATAATTATAATAAGATATAAGTTTATAAATAATAATATAGTATTATTAAAGTCTAGACGTAGTTTTTATAAAAAGAAAATATATAATAAATAAAAGAAAAACTATTCTAAGTTAAGAATAAGATATTCTAATTATTATTCTATTTATTACGCTTAATTAATAATATTTAACTATTATACTTAATCTAATAACTTTATATATTTTATATTTATAGAATAAAACTTCTTAAATCAATTTAAATATAGATATATATTTATAAAAATACTACTACTTTAATAAAAGAGGCTTTCTTATTCTAAAATCTATATTAAATTAAAGATTATATTTCTATATTCGATAGCTTTAATTTCTATAGTTATTATTAATATCGCGATTAAATTTATATAATAATAATACGTCTTTCTTTATTAGCGGTATATCTCTATATTCGATAGCTTTAATTTCTATAATTATTATTAATATCGCGATTAAATTTATATAATAATAATACATCTTTCTTATTAGCGAGTATTCTCTATATTTAATAGCTTTAATTTTTATAGTTATTATTAATATCGCGATTAAATTTATATAATAATAATATTCTTTTTCTATATTTAATATTTAGCTTTAATTTTCTATAGTTATTATTAATATCGCGATTAAATTTATATAGTAATAGTATACCTTTCTTATTAGCGAGTATTTCTATATTTAATAGCTTTAATTTCTATAATTATTATTAATATCGCGATTAAATTTATATAATAATAATATATCTTTCTTATTAGCGAGTATTTCTATATTTAATAGCTTTAATTTCTATAAGTTATTATTAATATCGCGATTAAATTCATATAATAATAGTACATCTTTCTTATTAGAGTATTTCTATTTATTCGATAGCTTTAATTTCTATAATTATACTATTAATATCGCGATTAAATTCATATAATAATAGTACGTCTTTCTTATTAGCGAGTATTTCTATATTCGATAGCTTTAATTTTAATAGTTACTATTAATATCGCGATTAAATTTATATAGTAATAATATATCTTTCTTATTAACGAGTATATTAATAATCGTAAATAGCTAAAATATAATAGAAAATAGTAGATAACTCTTAATAATATTCGATTTTAAATCTATAGCTTCTTTATCTTATCTAGAAGTAAAGATATTTATATCTAGAATTTAAAATAAGTAAATTCTAATATATAGTTAATAAATATCTAGATATAAATCTTCTAATACTTCTCGCTAAGCGTTTA